TCTCATGTAGCCTGAATTCAAATTGAATAAGTGGAACCGCTTCAATTGGCCGGGAATCAAGTCGGCTGTGTTCACTCCCACAACGGGGCAAGCACCCATTTCTAACTTGGTTTGCGATGAAAATACCAAAAGACAAATCCACTAATGCGCAGAATTAGACTGGACTTTGAGCTAGATTTGCTTGTGAAAAATAGGGCCTTTTGGGTTCTTTATTTAATTTTTTAAATATCACTACTGTATATTGTTGCATCATGAAAGTACGTAACAGTGAAATGCAGAACAGCTCGCTCACCGACACATTATCGGGAAAAACTGCCGGTTGACTGACGACAAATGAGAGAATTGAGTTTCCACCGCAATTTGTCAGACTATATTGATTTCAAAGTCAAACGCTAAGTCAATGTGCGAAATGTACGGATCAGATCCACGAGTTACCATTTTCACGCTTCCACCGTTCACTCCTCGTTCAAACGTGAACCCCGTGACACACTCGCCTCCAGCTTGCAATAACCTCTCCCATCAAACTCAATGAGTTCTCGGCCGCAATTATCGCGACCTTGCATTCGTTAATTCGCCAAAGGGCGGAAATACACGTGCTCTTTGTTTTTTTTTTTTTGTTTTTTTTTCCCTAAACCGATACTGCCACACGGGCTTTTTCCTGACAGGCTGTAATAACGCGCGATGCTTTTGGCACACAAATGAGCTCACCCTTATCCCCATAGTGCGGCCCACATCTTATCTGCATTCATACCGCTGATAGAATCAGGAAGTCGGTCTGCTCTGTTACTTGATGATCTCGCTATACCCTCAAATGTAATAAAAACAAAATTTTTTTTTTTTTAAATCCCAGATGGATTTGTGAAACACTCACACTGCTGAAGTAAACCATCTGGTGTTTGGGTGACATTTGGAAGATATTTTCCATACGCAGCATGAACTTGACACAACCCCATAATAATAATAATAAGAATGCAATAGACTTTTTTTTATTGTCAACTCGTCATAAGAAATAAAAAACACGTGTCCTGTATCTTACAAGATAAAATTTTAAAATTTGCTTTATCATCCATAAACATCTTAAATATCTTGCCCATTAAGCAGCTGACGAACTACTCCGAAATTAACAACCGCAAAGGACAAATCGTGAATTGGATTCTTATGACCGGCATTACCCTTCGTCATCATCCTTTACGACAATGCGACGGCGAGCCAGACTTTTAAAATTTTATGATCCAGTCATCTGTCAGTAGCACGTTGCGCAGTGTGAATGTTGGATCGAAACAAATGACAAAGCGGATTTGTGGGAATATTGTGAATAGATAGCCGGAAGAAAAGAGAAGGAGGAGGAAGAAATGGAAACACTGACTCAAAGAAGGTCACAAAGATCGAGGATTATGTTAATTAACTTTGACCTTTAATGCTGGGCCGCTAATCATGTTCTGAGCAACTCCAGACATTTCGACACACTAATAAACACATTTTGCCACGTCACCCTCCCTCATGCGTTCATATTCTTCATCGAGGGAACTCTCAGGTACTTAGCATCTGGCATTTTATCCCACAAATGAGACCCATAAACAGAAGTCGTGCCCGGGTGGCTTTAATAAGGACCCGCACGTACCTGTCGACACTTTTGAACAATGTCGAGCTTTGCAGCGGAGCAATATATCACGGCCCGACGGATTTAATCAGAGGTGATTGAAGGAACGTCTCGATGTGCTTTTCGGTCAGGAGATTAAACTGCCCGCATCGGTTGTGCTTCCTTCCCGAGAGACGCTGCATGGTCGTCACCACGGCAGAGTCCATCGATAAGCGTTGAATTCTGTCAGTCATTTTTATGTCTGCTCGAATTCATCACGCATGTAAATATTAAATCATCGCATGCAGTATTTCTGTTGACACAAATTTGTGCACTGGACATAAGGATACAATTTAACTCTTTGAGGGACAGCAGTTACGACAGTGGACAGCTTATTATGTTATCAAGTTACAGAGTGCATGAAAGGGTTAAATGGAAACACGACAATGATGTAGCGTCGGTAGGCAGGCACACCCCGCCTCACAAGTCTGAGGTTTGGGGTTCAAATCCGGGCTGTGGTCTTCCTGTGTGGAATCGTTTTCTTCCATACTCTGCATACGTAATTATCTTTAATCCATTTTCCATCTGCTCTCTTATAAAGATACGCCCACACATCTGCCCTGCTCCTCTTTGTCAGTGAAAAATGATCAGTCATCTGTTTGCTAGGCGGCACGCATCGGCTGGCGAAAGCTAAAAGACAGTTAACACCATCAGCGGTGTTAAAATACAGCGGGAACAAAAATGAAAGCGCGATCAAAATATTATCACCGTATGTCGTGCGTGAAAGGGTTAAATACTTTTGAGAGCCTTGTTTCCCTGCTTCCCTCCATGTGGATCCTCCGAACTCCTCCACGCAAACCCCAAATCATCACACTTATTTGAGGCCGTCCACGAATGTGGACGCGCTGGTAAGACGACCGAACAACACGTTCTGGTTCAGGAGTGGGTCTTTCTATCTATGATTACATTACATCGACAGTCGGACCTTTCGTGTGAAGTGGTTCTGAAATGAGATCTGATATCACGGCTCCAGCTTCCTCAAGGAGTGTTGATTTGCAATATTTCGCCTTTCGGAATAGCCTTTTCGACAAGGGCTTTAGTTTTTGTGCAATAGGCTTGAATCCGATCGTGCAAAATGTGTCCTTATATCCACTCGTAAAAAGTTTGGTTGATCCTTCATTTTTAGCTTTCAGCTGTTATTCAGATGTGTGTCAGATTATCTCTCGCGCACCCGTCTCCAAATAAACCGGTGACGCTCATCGTCATCTCAAAATATCCGATCTTACAATATCATTAATAATCCAAACAAAAATTAGACATCCGCCGCTATTGTGGACCTTTCACCAGTCTCCTCAAAACTGGATCGAGCAGAATGCGGGATAAGATGCTAGCATGCTAACGCTATGTATATTTAAACAGCAAGGGTCGTAATAGGATTCATGACAGGGATGTCATGAATACTTAAAACCATGACTCTGTTTGAGTGTTTTATTCATATTCTACAAACAAAAGTGTACCATCACGCATTCATCCGCGTGAGGTTATTGTCTCGGAAGAAAGCCACTGAAAAAGAAGCTCCGCCATTGATATCAACTATGAAACTCACACCGCTACACTCGGCCTCCTCCTCTTCGGCCGTCAGTGAAATTTCCCTTGTCGTCAGCTCCTCTGTGCTTTTTGAGACTTTGAAGAGGTGGAAGAAAGGTTTCGTCGCGCTTTTACAGAATAAGCAGCTCCGCACAAGTGGGTCTCGGATCGCAGAATTTCCGGTTCGCAGAGTGTGTCTCGAGGGTGAAGTGCAAAAAGCAGACGGCGATGACGACCCTGAGCTTGCTCGTCCAAACCTGCGTACCGTTTTCCCTTTTGAGATGAGTCTGTCAGTCTTGATCAGTGACGGAAGAACTGTTGCTGCCGAATCACGTCGTGCAAAGGTGTCAAGTGTTGCCACAGCCAGATTTTTGTATTTTTCAAACAAGATTTCATAGTTCCATTTCCGTTAACTATGTGGAGGGTTCTCTTCCAGCTGAAGATATGATACCTGAATATTAATGACAACGTTCTGGCACAGGATGGAGGGCCGAGGTTTTTGCCTCAGGCTAGTGGCCATGAGTTAAATCAACATGTCAGTGGAAAATAGAATCTCTCTTGATTCCCTTTGGAAATGTTGCTTAATTCGACTTAAATCCATCCTCCACTTTTGGGTCAAGGATCTTCTGCCATCACTTTGAATGTTCAAGGATTCGTTCTTTTTTTTTTTTCTTACCACGGGACTAACTTCTGCAGTGCAAACTTATCCTTCTGGAGTTAAAAGTCAAGTCAAGTACAACTTTATTGTCAAATGTGCTGTATGTGGTTGAAATTTCCTCCCTCTTATTAAACAGACAACATACAACAAGAGGAGCCGCTGCGGGTGCCCGCAGCTGTTTGCCTAATGTATGGATATGAATGAACAGACCCATTTGCCAAGTATCATGTGCGCCTTTGTGAATGGACTGACATGCTATTTGCAATAAGTCATAAATTATTCTCGAAGTACTCTTAATGTGCTTTGCAAGAAACAGACTTTATTCACAAAATATAATAAAATGACTGGAGAAAAAAAAAAAAAAACAACTACCGGTATATCAGATGAGAAACCGTGAATATAAATCCCAATCCATATTTACATAATGATTAAGAAAAAAAAATCTGATCATAGCAAACAATCTCACATCTGGGTTTTTTTTCATTCAAATAATACCGATTGTCACTCACATTTCATTCATTAAATGACCGACACGCTCCGTGTTCCCGTTTGACTTCATTTTCGCACAATCTTTTGAGGGGGAAAAAAAAAAGCCATTATAAAGTATTGTTCAGTTTTTGCATGTGTCATTTAAAACAATGTGCAGTAAGATTTTTATTATTTATTTATTTTTTTAATCCACAAAATGTCACAATGCGACCGTTCCCAATGCGCACGTGTGTGAACGCATGCGTGTGAAAAGTTCCCCACTCTCGATTTAGGGGCACATTCATCATTTAACACACTCGCTGTCACCCAAAAATGCAGTTTAACTGGAGAAGCAGCAGAATGCACTGCCTCCAAGTGCATGGAATTATGGGAAGAATTTTTATGAAGCAGATGACACAATGAGCCGAAGTCCAACAGAACCCAAGGAGGAATTATAAGTGTTAGAAGTGTGAAACATAAATTCCTCAACGTCAAATTGGAATGTGGCTTGTGTTTAACTGTATTTTTAACAATTCTTGGAAATGCTCGGCGTTATTTATAAAGCTATTTCGTCACCTTATATTGAACAGAATCTACATCCCGCTGATTAGGTTTGTGAGCCAACCCGAAAATCCCCAAATGACACAATTAAAATGCCAACTGTGGAGATTGCCAACAAATGAAACAAACAATGCATGGTTTCCTTCTTGGAGGCATATATATATATATATATATATATATATATATATTTTTTTTAATACTCACTCTCAAATGTGTGCACAGTTGTACATTACAAGAAATGGAGTAGTTTGGACATCGTCTCCCTATGCCAGAATAGTGACATCCTGCAATCCTGTGACATTTAGGTCATACTGCTCGGTGTTGCATTGCATGCTGGGAGAAGACTTGGCGCCCGAACAGAGGAGCGCCCGGAAGTGCTTCCTGAAGGTCTCCGAGAGGCAGGTGTAGAGGATGGGGTTGGCGCAGCTCCACGAATACGACAGCAAGACCAAGAACTCGAACACCCGCGCAAAGTTAGGGTTGGATTGATACATGGAGCAAAAGTTGACGGTGTAAAACGGCAACCAGCACAAAGCGAACACGACCACCACGGCCACCACCATTTTGGTGACCTGCCGCTCCGGCCGGCGATTCTCACGATCGGCCACGGTGGCCCGGAGCCGCTGTGACCTCAGGGTGAGCAGCAAGGCCGTATACGAGGCGCTCATGATGGTGAACGGCAACGCAAAACCCAAGACGAAGGTGTAAGACAGGACGCCCAGCCACCACATTTCCGAAACGAGGTCCGGGATGCACAGGCCTCGATCCGCAGAGAAATGAAGCGCCATGGGGAGGATGGCGAGGATGGAAAAAAGCCACAAGAAGGCCGAAACGATCTTGGCGCAACGTGGCGTCCTCCAGGAGGCGAACCTTAGTGGGTCGGCCAGCGCCATGTAGCGGTCGATGCTCATCACGGTCAGACAGAAGACGCTGGTGAACTGGTTGATGCCGTCCAGCACCATGACCACTTTGCACGCCGCGTCGCCAAACAGCCAGCGGCTCAGAAAGTTCTGACTCGCGATAAACGGGAGCCCGACCATGAAGAGTCCGTCGGCGAGCGCCAGGTTGAAAATGTACACCGTGGTGGCCGACGACATTTTGTCCAGTTTCAAAACGGCGACGATAACCAGCGAGTTCCCGGCGAGCCCCGCGATGCACACCGCAAGATAGAGAATGGCCATGAGGACACCGAAACCATCAATACGCTCCTTGAAGTCAAAGCGTTCATCCACAGAAGTCCAGTTGTCGATATCCGCTTCCATTCTGCGTGAAACGAAAACCCAAGTCGTCGCCGTCAGCGCGCCTGCATAACTTTCTCTCACCTCTCAAAATAGAAAGCACTCAGATGGAAGGTGAAAGACCCAAAGGAAAAAAAAAAAAGATCAAATCAAGCTTTGGCTACTCTTCAGCATCCCCTCATCCGCTCGCCGCTTTTATTTTTTTTCCCCAAAAAGAAAAACGTATACTCGTCCGCAGCACCCAAGGGCCTTTGCGTGAACACCCTTCAAATGAACAGGACGGATGCTTCACTGGCCGCACTTTCTCCCTGGGAGCTCTTTTTATATATCTTCCCCCCACGGTGTGTGACGAGCGCTGCTGTGTGCTTGTGTGTGCCTGGAACTCGTCCACCCCCTTGTTCATCAGTCTCCAGAGGCTGTGATAAAGTCCAGCTTGGCTGAAGCCCCCCCTGAGCCCCCCCCCTAGGTTCTCTGCTGTAATGCTTGTTTCCAAGGTAAAACCCATCTGCTCCCATACTCTTGTTTTCATAACTTTTTTTTTTCCCCCCCTTGTCCTCCCTCTGCTTCTGTTTACTTCACACACAGCCTCCCTTCTATCTATTATGTCTCCATGCACTCCACCCCTTAAGCTCATAGCTTTAGGCTGGGGGCGCGGGGTTGTGGGGGGGCACACGCACACATAGATACCATCGCGAGCTCACTCGAGTAAATCCCCACGCGGGAACGAAGTGTCTCGCGTCTGTTTTCTCAGGACTTTTTGTTGTCGTGACATTTGACATGGGATGCCGTTTTCTTGCGTCTTTGACCGCCTTGTGTTGTTTTGCTTGGGGGGGTGGGGATGTTCTAAAACCGTGTCGATATGAGCGGTTCGGGAAAGGATGGCCACAAGCAGAGGAAGTGAAAAGTAAAGGGGGGGGGGGGCTACGATTAAAGACCATGAATGAGCGATGACCTCCATCCTGTTGCCACTCTGACACGCATAGCTGGAATACCCCCAGAAATCCTCTGGAGTGTCCGCCCATCTAAATTCCACAAAATAACCGAGCCGGCCAATTATTTCCCATGCCGTAAGTGTTTATCCAGAATGGGATGCGATTCCAAAGACACTTAACACTTCTCTAAACCGTCTCGGGGGCTCATTCATCAGAAGATTTATGGAGACGTTTTTCCGAACCGGCAACAAGTTCCAGTGAAGTGAGGAAAAAAATGCCTTTGGAGTTGACGCTGATTAGGCCGTGGCTTTGCTGCCAACATTTCATACAATGTGGCCCACCTCGATATCCCCTATTAATCATCCCGCAAAACACTGTGGAGGTGCTTCATATTTCATGGGCGATATTTCACTTTGGTGTCATTCTGGCATTCATCTCATGCTTTTAGAACACAGCCTGCAGCAAAGGAAGACACCGGCAAAGGTTGAGATTAAAGTCTGTTTCATTAATCAAAGGAGAAAAAAAAACCCATATTCCTTCCTTAATTTGTATGCCGGTGACATTTTGCAAATAGAATCATAATCACATGAACATCTGATGTATTCATCAAATGGTGATCACGTTGTGTTTCCAGATGGGAAGAGGTGGAAAAAGCAATTTGCAGATTTAGCTGAAAACAACACAAGGTCAACCGCAAATTTTCATGCGAGTTCGCTTTCCATGTGTGTAATGTTGTTGCTGAAGAGATATTTTCATTGTTTTGTTGTTCATTCCGATCTATAAAAGCTTGCGCAGCGCTGATGCTACCGTGCGTTGAAATTTATGGTGATGACATTTCAGGAAAAGAAATTCCAACTGTTGCTGAATCTTATTCGTAATTTCTAAATATTCCGAAATATTTACTGTTTTAGCCGACATATTTTATTCACTGCTGCCATTCTACTATGTAGAGAAATACAGGTAGCTCGCCGCCCTTCGAATCAAATGTGTCTCTGTTCATTCTCATAAAACAATGTTCTCCGAATGAAATCAACCACGGAAGATATTATATGTAACACTAAATATTTCTTAAAACGAGTCTACCATTTGAAACTTGATAGAATGACAAAAGGTAGAACAACACCGAGCTTAAAGATTTGTTTCAAAGATCAGGCTAGTTTTTCAAACTGAGCCTGACTGCTAATTAAGTGGCGACTTCATAACAATGTAAGACACAATTTTTTTTTTTTTTTTAATCAGACTCCCAAGTGCAGCGCCTCACCAACAATTAACCTCACTGCGCTTCACACGTCGATTCAAATGCATGCCTTGATAAGGGTTAGTTAGCATATAGTATGTGTATTTTGAGTTGAGTTGAGTTAAACTTCCCTTCACTTCCTGCCAAATTTCTGTTATCTGCTTCTATGTTCAAGAAACAAACAAACAAACAAATCCACCAAGCATAGTAACCCGCTGCAAAATTATGTTCAGATCAATGTTTAAGGTGTAAAGACATTATATTTGGATCAGATCTCATGCGGAACTATTTGACCTGTGAACTTAGTTTTAGCAAAAATCTATGTGTCCTCCACACCAGCCCCCTGAATGCTCATAAGTAATTTTAATAATAAGGTACAGCTTATATTCAAGTTGATTGCATTAGTTGTAGAAAATGTAATATATTTATGTTTTGGGGCATTTCTGATTATTTAAGAACATTTATTGGAAATCATATACTCATATTAAAATAATAATCATAATGATAATCACGATAATTTATAATATAATGATAATAATAATTGTTATTGTTAAAGTTCTGTGAGTGTCATGTTCCTTTAAAAATCGGGATGTGTCATGACGACGTCATATTCATTTGACCAATCAAATGCATTAAAGGGCGGGGCTACATGTCAAAGACACGTGTACCGGGAAGTAGGAAGTAAATATAGGGGAAACGAAGTCAATTTGGAAGCCAGTAGGTGAGAAGTGTAACTTTTTCGACAAAAATAGCAATAATGCATGTCTAAAGCTTTTGCATACGTTTTAAAAGAAGTACCCATTGTCAAAAGATTGAGGAAGCCGAGTTCTGACCGTATACACTGTGCAGTAATGTTGCATATAAGTTGACGTCGAGCAGTATTGATGTTTGATTTCCATTTATCTGCAATGAATACGTTGTTTATGAAACGATACATTCTTTATTCTGTGTGCATTTGCGACATGCTATGGGATTAAATCACACTGAATAGGCTTGATGTTTTCTTTGCAAGAGTAGGAGTATGAATGAAATGTTTCGACTACATTTTTATCGCCAGCTATCGCTCGATTCCGAAGCAGATACGATAGTAGCATACCTGAAGCAGCTGGAGATATGTTTACTGTTGCCAGGCAAATGGTTGATATTATTTCGAATCCGCTTTTTCCAATTACAAGGTCCTAGTTCTTGAGAAGGATTTCAGCAACGATCGTTTTGGGAATAATATAACACTTCATTTGTAGATCACACACGATGACATTTACTCTGATTTGTATGTGGACCAACTAATTTGTCAAAATTGTAACTTAGTTTAAGTGATACAACCAAAAACAGAAAAACTCCCAAACTAGTTTGGATGTTAATTTTGATCCACTCATCATTGATGTTCACTGTGTGCTTCATTATTGTAATCAGCACTAAACGAGCACAATTTGGAACCTATTCAAATAAATTAAAACATTATTTAGAGTATGCTCTTTCGTCATTTGGATATTTCAAACTCCTATCGCTGATGATTGAGAAGTGATTATTTAATTCGAACCGTTTGGCCCATGGAAAATGCACGTTTAAAAAAAAAAAAAAAGAAGAAGCCAAGGGCACTACTGTATAATCCAGAGCAAACAGGGTTCAACTGCCTTTAGGTCTTTGCTGTGTGCAGAAACAAACAGACGAGTAACCAAACCTGAAACATTTTGTTGACTTAAGGTGTCTCGTGCCACCATCTTCCTTGTGTTTTGTTCTCTATGGGTAACGGTGACAATGATAAAATCTGAAAAGTTGTGTTGCCTTCAACTGACTGATCATGCTTCATGTATCATGTTGTCATATATTTTACTTTACTTTAAAATAGCCACTCATTCCTTCTGTGTTTTTTTTTTTTTAATATATATTTTTGTGTGTGTCCCAGGTGTGGTGGCACGATGATAGAAGGCTACTCCCCTGTGGCACAGGCGCTGCTGGGGACTCTGTTTACCTGGGGCCTCACCGCTGCTGGGGCTGCTATGGTATTCGTTTTCTCCGGTCGACAGGTGAGTTCAGTGAACCCATTTCTCCTCATTTTCAATGCACACCTTAAACATTTTCGTTGAAGATGGTTACACGCGGACTGATTTTGATCTGAACGAAATTTTAAAATGTCAGCATCCTCACACATCCAAGGTAAAAATTGGCAAGTGTCTGCATGCTGCTGTGATCGTACGCAGTCTACTGTCCACTGTCCAAATTGTGTCAATTTCCTGTTTTTCCACAAATCAAGACTATTGGTCATTCGCGATGGGTCTGTCATTGTTTGAAATTATTGACCAAGATGGAATTTTCATAGCTCAGCAAACATATGCTTTTTTTTTTTAATGATGGGAAGATTCTGCTCGAGACCAGCGATATCTTTAATTTATAAAACTGTGAACATGACCGATATTCATGAACACAGACTTCACGTCATTAAAATCCCTCTTTTCTGCCTTCTACAGAAGCACATCTTGGATGGAAGTTTAGGATTTGCTGCGGGGGTGAGTTTCTGTCTTTTCTCTTCAATTATTGTTATTTGTAATTGGAAAGGGAAAAAAGACTTTTAAATTGCTTGTTTACGCAGATAGATCACCGGAGGGCTTGCCGAGCGCTTAATTGTGAACTTAAGACAACCAAGTAAATGATGTTTGAAGGGCTGTCTCCACTAGTTAAAATGTTGCTTTATTCCAACTCGCTTTTTTTTTTTTCACCATCTGTGATGTTTTTCGAATAAGTAGCTGCTCGCCGAGTTGCAGTGTCCCCGTACCACCCTTGCTTGTAATTTTCATCGTCAAACCCTTTCTTTACCCGACAAGGCACAAGAAGGCTCGGTGAGCGGTGGCTCATTTCCATGAAACACAATTGCGCTTCCCTCCACGAAGCACGTGATTGCAACCGCGGTATTATTTACGCTTAATTTGATTCTTTGTCCTCATTGTATTTTGCGCAAAGATTGATAAGGACACGTTGAATTAGGACATCTGGACACTGTTTTAAATGGAGAAAAATATTACTTTTTTTTTTTTTTTGGTGTACTGCTCTTGATTTCTAAATCTGTGTTCTCCCACCACTCAGCAAGCAAGAACACACAAACTGCGCCTGAGAGTTTGAGATTATTGAGGTCAACGTAGCCAAATGAGTGTCCTCCATAGATCTGTGTTTTGTAACTGTTACTTTGTGAGAGGAAACCTGCGCGTAGAGCGAATGCTCCCGTTGCTCCAGTGAATTACTCCCTTCTAGTACCAAATAGGTGGGATGAGCTGGCACTTGGGTTGATATGGACCGTAAACTCGCGTCAAAGCTTTTTAATAAGTTGGGAGGTATTATCTAGTCGTGTGGGGAATCTTGGATTGCAATTGCTGACTCTCGTTCTAATGTACAGTAATTATCCGGATTTTTTGACGACTGGCCCTGATTACCGGTAGTTGGCTGATCATGATGGAGCAGCAGCCTAATTAAAGTCGCATCCCCTTTTCTTCTGATTACATCCTCGAATATGTTTAATACACATCGATATAGTTCTCAGTGATGAATTTTAATAAGCAACAAAATTTGTGATGTGGTTTCCTTGTATTTGATGTTATTTTACGGTTAGCGTTTTCAGTAGCTGGAAAAAAAAAGAAAAAAGAATCATCCACTGTCGATTTTGCTTGAGATTGGTCCCAGTGATATTACTCTGCTTGGCAACAGAAGATGTCACACCAAATTTTAAACTCAATTTAATTGCCTACAGCTTCGATCCTGTTAAGGTTAAACAATGTCATTTATTCCATTTAGAGTTGCATCAATCTTTGATAAAGATGTTTTCTTCTAAATGGCTGCATGTGTCGGCGTCATGCAGTTGTATAGTCTTGTTCAGCGTAAAATTGTAAAGCTTCCCAACTGCATTGATGTCTCGACTCTGTGATGGCCACTCTGTTACAGGTCACTGGTTGACTTCTGGTTTGATCTGATTCCCAAATATTTTTTTCCCAAAGGAAATGATGAGTTGCGGCGTCAACATCAGCTCGAATTGAACCTGGACATTTTTATCGGTTGATTCAAGGATCAAACGGCTGTTGCGAATTTTTACCGTTAAGCTCGGCATTAGAGAACAGGAACTTGTCCAAAAATTGCTGAAACATTTGACAGTTGGACATGTGCATTCTAAAGCTTAGAGGTGACATTGCATTCACCTGTAAATGTTGGAATGCATACCTGCATGGGTTTTCTCCGGGTACTCCTTTTTCCTCCCACATTCCAAATACTTGCATGGCAGGTTAATGGAACACTCTAAATTTGCCCCTACGTATGATTGTGAGCGCCGATGGTTGTTCATCTATGTGTGCCCTGCGATTGGCTGGTAACCAGTTCAGGGTGTCCCCCGCCTCATGCCCAAAGACGGCTGGGATAGGTTCCAGCACGCCCCGCAACCCTTGTGAGCATAAGCTGGTCAGAAAATAGATGGATAGTTGGATTTCGTTGATCACTCGGCTCAACACTCAAATTAGAAATGTGTTTCCTCTCAGGGATCCAAATGAACAGATGAGCAAACACATCACGTTTACCTCTACGAATACAAAATTGAGCACCTTGAGAATAACTCACTTGCTGAACTCCTTCTAGACTCCAGTCTAAAAAAAAATGTAAAGTGAATTCATTTGCTCCAGATATGACAGTAAATATTTTAGGAAATAATTGACCATTCTTATGCAAGTCTAAAGAGACATTCGCCACTGCAAAAAAAAAAAAAAGTCAACTCTCATAAATCTGCCCACTTTGATTGAGGTCAGGCGGTCAAGTTATTGTCATGCTCGTCATCAACACTATGCTTCTTTCGCCTCATGACAGGATCAATATCCTGTATATCGCCATGATAAAAAAAAAGAGGATTTGTACATGTGCAACATGAAAAGAAGTTATTAGGCGTAAACGGCTGCGTATCCTTCAGACACCCACTCATCAGGAAGACTCTTGTGAAAAATTGCTTCAATTTGCAAAGGAACATGGAGTTTGGGTCACCGCAATGTCATGGTCTGATGAGTCCACGTTGACCCTGTTCCACATCAGCGGGAACACCAGGTTAAGAGAGACGGATCAAGTAGTGCAGTGATGAGTCATGCAATGTGCTTACCATCCAAGGCTCTTATCGTCTGAGCTCGCTTCAGTTGGTCTGGATATCTGTTCAGCAATGTTATCTGCCAATCCGGTGGATTATCAAGTTTTTTTTTTTTTTCGCCACCTTGTCAGTCTTGCCAGATTAATCCTCGGCCAAAACACAATCAAAAGGCAGGAGGGGAAAATAAAATGGGGGACTGAGGCTCTGGGTGTTCCCGATATGTCAGATGAATCAGTCATTCCGAGGCAAGTTTTTCTGGTTTTCATCTAACATGCCTTTCATGTTGTTGTTTGTTCCTTGTGGTTTTCACATTTTTGATAAAACCTCCATACTCTCAGTCACAGTTGTTGATTTTTTTTGTATATTCATTCTTATTTTCAAGGATATTTCGGACTTTTGTTCGGCTTGTTCGTTTTTTTTTTTTTCCCTCCCACTGAGGCAAGAATCCTGTGGTCATCAACTTGATGTGTAAAGGTTAAATTAGTGAGACAAACTGGCCACATTGAATCAAAAATGTTCATTTGCCCATATCAGAAAAAGAATGTTTGTGTTTTTTCGCAAGACAACGGCGGCGGAATCAATATTGAATGCAGCATAGCTGGCAGCGGTGGCCTTTGATGCAACACTTCATCTTTGAGGCAACGTCGCATGTTGTTTTTTGTTTGTTTTTTTTTTTCCAATTTTGTTTTGAGCCTGTTGCCGTTGGAAATTTTTTCACATCACGTCTCAGCAGGCCCCCTCTTGCTGTGCTTGGTCCTCATCCATAGGCTTGCAGGAGGGCGACAGGAAGCTTGTAGGATGAGAGCAGCAATACTGATGAAAAATGGAGGAGGGAAGTCTCAGTGCTCGTCTGTGTACAGTGGACCGACGCTACTTGCCCGGGGGGTAGGGACCCAAGGCCGACGGCGAATATCGAAAATTGACGAAAAATTGAAACTCCGTTGAAAGAAAAAAAAAATTGTGGAAAAAAAAATGCAGGATTGGACCAAAAAAAAAAAAAGAAACATAAATCAAGCGGCCGTTCCACCATAACTGGATATGTTAACCCTTTGAGGGACAGCGGTTACTGCAGTGGACAGCTTATCATGTTATCAGGTTACAGGGTACATAGAAGGGTTTAAAAAAAAAAAGGTCTTTTCATTTATATGTTAAATACTTCGAGACGCATATATTATTATTTTTTTTCCATGGGCAAGTGAGTCACTTGATGTCAACCCAGTGGCGTTGTCTTTTTCCACGTTCTGAAGACAAACCTGAAGGCAGCAATGCCCCTTGATCAAGCAGCTGATTTTAATTTTAAATGTGCCGATTAAAAAAAAGATGTGGGTGTTTTATGTCACTAAAAATATGACATCAAATGTGTTCAGAGAGACTATACCCTCGTTGACATTAATAGTACACGATGAAAAGTCGAACATGCTGAAGATGTCATGCTGAGCTTTGCCTTTTCTAATCTGAAGCGTCAACGGCCTTTTTAATTCTTGTTTTTGTTCCAATCAATTTATTGTCAAGACGAGTTGTACACTTTCTTGACTTTGTCCTTTCCTTTGCCGTTTTTGTCCTCACTTAGGTGATGTTGGCCGCTTCCTATTGGTCATTGCTGGCTCCAGCAATCGACATGGCCGAGGATTCTGGGAAGTACGGCTCATTTGCTTTTCTGCCCGTGGCCATCGGCTTCATACTCGGGGCTGCTTTTGTTTACTTCGCTGACGTGGCCTTGCCCTTCCTGGTAAGAATCTCATCTCATAACTGATACATGCACCGAGTCAAGGACAGAATTAAAAAAAAACAAAAAACCTTGAAGGAATAGGTACACATTTGCAGTATATGTAAAACAAAACCAAACACGCTTTTTGTCAGTGCAAATGATAAAGGTTCATGAAAGTATTTGAATTTCAAAAAAAAATTTTTTTTGACTTACTGAAACGGTTGTCAACTTATTATTGACTGTACACACCGGGATTGTTTTGTTTTTTTTCCTGAAGTTCGGCCCTGTTAGTTGCTCTTGAGCAGATGTTGTCACAGCAGGCTTGATTGATACCAAACCGCACACATGGCCAAATGCCTGCTGAGATTCCCATTATCAATAGATTAAAATGTCCCCCATGTTGTATACAAGCGTCCTTGCTCGATATCTTCTGCAGTTTTGCTCATCCAGACAAATAGTCTTAATATAGGAGTGTTTCCATCCACTTGTAGTGCAAATGCTCAGTAAGCTGCAGTGAATGCAAAAGATGGGCACTTAAATCAGATTTTGACAGTGGGGAATATTGAATTGAGCCAATGTTGTAATAAGTGGTTTGTTTTCTTGTTTGTTCGTACAGTAGCATTGTTGGCCTCTGGGGTAAGACTCAATTCTATTGATGGATCTTGTGCGCTCGATCGCTGCTGTGGAACCAGCAAAGAACATCCTGTACTAACAGGTTGTTCTAAAAGGAGCTTGGGAAATCCATGATCTCCACAGAGATCTCCGCAGAGAAGGTGGCGGCTTGGCGCAGGTGGTAGAGTGGACAGTTGCTGTGTTATAAATAGTTGAATGAGGAGACAGTGTTGAAGGGCTTTGAGAACCTTGAAGGTAGAAAAGCGCGATAAGTGAAAGCCCATTTGGTTCCACGTCCCTAGAGCCAGAGTCTATTGCCCCCAGGTGGTGATCCCATAGAAAGGGAGACCCACCTTGCCTTTTGAGGTTGTGTGGGTGGACCACCTGGCGCTCACAACCGAGCTTCACCCACAGACCTGGCTCCAGAGGGGGCTTCGATGACCCACATCCAGTCACGGGAAAACAAAGTCCAAAATTTTTTCATCCTAATGGGCCCCTTTGGCCGTGCTTTGTCTGGTTCCTCAACTAGGACCCTGTTAAAATACTTGTTTCAGAAATATGAAGGAGGGCGCAAGGGTTAGACCAGGCTTGACCACAATATGGCAGTGAAACATGAACTGGTCAGTGTAGCAGAGAACAGCTGTTGCCTTGAGCTTCTGTGGTCATGTTAGGACAGGAGCAATGACACAAATTGCATCTGAAGGAGCGTCTGACACATCACTGTCATACACGCTTATCAAATGTACCAAATGACACTGGCGGCTGGAGGACAATGGGATCCCTTATTCAAAGTAGAGAAACATTCTTCCCATTGATCGTGTATGCATTTTTGTTTGTTATGCGGATTAGTTTTATTTTGACACTCGCATATTTACAGTACCAGAAATTAACTTGGAAAAAGTAGGCATCCCTCGGGATTTTCAATATTTTTAAATGGGTCTTGGTGTTTCAGATGCTCATCCGTCCGGCGTTTCTATTGTCCTATTTTGCACTTCATAATGTGCCTCATATTTTCAATGGGAGACAGGTCTGGACTGCTGCCAGGCCAATGACTTTTTTTTCAACAAAGCCACGCAGTTGTAGCACATGCATAGAGTATATTTGTTACTACCACTGCGTGGGACTGCTTTTCATCTGCCAAACTGAAAAAGCACAGTCGGTAAGAGCGTATTGTCCCTTGTAGATCGTACTAAATTGTACTCTGCAAGCAATCATGTGGACTTAGGATGAATCTCAAATAGAATTTTTTTGTTTTGCAATTCAAACATAACATGCTTGACTTGAAGTGGTACTGTAACCAGAGTTGGTGGTCCTATTTTACTCGTTCTCAGCAATAAAGCATTTTTAAAGTCCTCCTAAGATAGAACTCTTATTAACTCATGTTTTCTCCTCGTTACCTCATGAGCTGCGAGCCCTCTTCCCTTTTCATTCGTCTTCATATTCTTGGCTCATTTTTCTTCTTTATCTGCTCTTTCTTTACCTGGTTCCATGGTGACTGTAAGGGAAATGTTGAGCTGTGATAATCGCAAGCATGAAATCAACTGGGAACGTCGGGGGGTCTTGAACACAAACACAAATGGTGCCATCGGTGTTTGGACAGCTGCTGGTGGCCAATTTTACTGGTTCCTCAACAAACACCAGAGCCGAATGAAAAGAACTCTTTGAGGAGAAAAAGAGAGATTGTGAGAAGGGTAGTCGATAAGGGGACAAAAAGCAGGGTTAGGAGTTAACAAGTGGGGGTGAAAAGGACAGATAGCATCATGGAATGATTGGTTGATGGTGAGTGCAGAGACACCTGTAACTTTCCCTAACCTCTTCCTTGTCCATGTCCTGCTCACAGTATGGATTTTTTTTTTTTTTTTTTTTTAC